CTGGTCGATACAATGAGTGATCTGTGTAACGGAGAATGAAAATCATATCTATATTTGGACGTTTCCTCCTGTTATTTACACATGCTATTTGTTACGACTGGAGGAGTGTGTTGCATAATGAATGTAGGCACTGTTTAGTGCAAGCTGTAGCCCTGAGTTAAATGCTATAGCACCTCTCATTCGATAAAATGGATAAAGACGTATTGGTATTACTACGCTATTTGATGATAAAATCACGAAGTTCCCTTTATTAAATAGGCCCGCTAGTCTTTTATACATTCATGAAATGCGATCTTCTGATCATAAAGACCTCATGCTGTCACGACAACACACAACCATAAAACCTAAAATTATAAATGTGATGCGAATTATTAGTCGCACTATCGTAAATACGGTAATATACCGTATAGTTCCAAAACAAGCACCCTTTTTTGTGCTTATTTTTGGAACTATACGGTAAGATTGGAATCGCGAAACTTTTTGTTAACCGTTTAATCTGTTTAATTATAAATTATGTGATTAATCGTGTTAATCGTTAATTCTTGATCAATTAGTTGTTAAGTTGGTAACTAATCGATTTGACTTTACTGCGGTTTCAAAATTATGTGAATTTTATATCATCAAAAAGAAAAAAAAAATCACTAAGAAATTGTTTGAATGTTAGTGATTCTGATTTCTTAAAATTACTCAGATATGATAATTTCATAACGGAATAGTTTGAAATTTGCAGATAAAAAAATCGATGATTTCTGATTTTTTGATTTCCAATTCTTTAACATTTCTTCTATGTTGTATGTATACGTTTCAACTAATATTATACTATATAAAGACTTATACATATATATATATTATATATATTTATTTAGTATACATTTTTTTAAAAAAAAATCTTTTCTAACGGCCAAAAACTATAATCCCGAAACATGCTTTAGATACACAAATTGTCTTTTTTGTACAACTTATTGTAACTGAAAAAACATTTCCAACAAAAAAAAAATTATACAAGAGTTTCTCATGTTTTTATTTTGAAATTTCTGTAATAAGCAATTAATTTTCTAGAATCGTGTAATAATTTTTATAAGATTGTATTTGGTGCAACTTTAAATTTTCTTCTTGCTCATCATGCAATAGTAAATTTTATCGGGCTAAAAAAGAAACAAAATTTAATGATACTATATCATATATGTTACAAAATAATGAATTACAACTTATATTTCTGCAAAAAAATACTGATTAAGAAGCCCAAGAATATTACAAGACCTAAACAAACTCAGCCATAAAACTTATATCTTTCATTATAATAAGCTTATGCCTGCCAGGCTAAGCAGTTAATAATAAAGATTATTTAGACAATAAAATTTTTAGAAAACATATTTCAGTCTTTTTTAACCTTAGTTAGAAAGGCTAATAAAATTGGTAAAACTAATTTCACCAATAGTGGTGAAATTATTTTATTACCTTAATTTTATTTTGCAAGTATCTTTAGTTAATTGTTAATATCTAATATATAATAGGTTTACTTAGTAAAGAAAATTTTTTTTTCTTT